ATGAGCCTTCCTCCAATTCTGATGCCAAGTTCTTCTTCATATCATCCAGTTTCTTGGATTATTTGCTTAGTACACAGATTGAATTAATATGGTGAAAAGATACAGTCCTGTCATACACTTCTCCTGAGCTTACACTATGAAGTATTCCCTTGTTCTGTTCAAAAGTCTGCCTTGGTTCTTGCTCTGTGTGAAGGTTCTGCATAAGCACAATTAAGTATTCAGGAATTCTCATTCTTAGCAATGTTGTCCATAGTTTATCATGATCCACAAAATACAATGACTTGTACTTGCATTGTCAGTAAAACAAAAGTAAACATCTTTCTGGTATTCTCTGCTTTCAGTCAAGATCCATCTGATGTCAGCATTGATATCCCTTGACTTGTGTCCTCTTTTGAATACAGCTTGAGTTTATGGCAGTTCCTGTGTATTATCTTCAACAAATTTTACTTGCATATGCTGTTAGTGATATTATTTTTCCACACTTTATTGGGTCACCTTTCTTTGGAATGGGTACTAATATGAATCTCTTCCAGTCAGTTAGCCAGGTAGTTGTCTTCCAAATTTCTTGGCATAGAGTAGTGAGGACTTTCAGTGTTGTATTAGTTTGTTGAAGCATTTCAATTCTTATTCCATCAATTCCTGGAGCTTTGGTTTTCCCTAATGTCTTCGGTGTAGCTTGGACTTCTTCCTTTCTTGATCATATGCTACCTCCTGAAATTGTTGAATGTTGACCAGTGCTTTTTGGTATACTGGTGGTATGTCATGGATTCGGATCCAACTCATAGCAACCTGTATAGGATTTCCGAGGCTCATCTTTCTTCCGTGGAATAGCTGGTAGTTTCCAGCTACTGACCATGAGGTTAGCAGCCAGACTCATAACCACTATAGTACCTCGGTGTATTCCTTCCATCACCTTTTGATTCTTCTGGCATCATTCAATATTTTGAACATAGAATCTTTCAATATTGCAAGTCTATGCTTAATTTTTCCTTTCTTTTCTTTTTTTTTTTTTTTCAGTTCTTTCAGCTTGAGAAACACTGAGCATATTTTTCTCTTTTGGTTTCCTAACTCTAGATCTTTGCATATTTCATTATGGTTGTTAACTTTGTCTTCTCAAGATATGTTTTGAAATTTTATGTTCAGTTCTTTTATTTCTTCATTTCTTCCAGTCACCTTAGTTACTGTACATTAAGAGCAACTTTCAGAGTCTCTTCTGACATTCACTTTGTTCTTTCTTTCCTATCTTCTTAATGACCTTTTGCTATCTTCATATACGATGTTCTTGATTATCATTCCACAACTCCTCTAGCCTTCGATCATTAGTGTTCAATTGGTTAAATCTGTTCTTGAGGTGGTCTCCAAATTCAGCCAGGATATGCTCAAGGTCTTATTACTGCTCTTGTGGACTTATTTTCATTTGCTACAGCTTCAACCTGAACTTGCATATGAGCATTTGATGATCTGTCCCACAGTCGGCCCCTGGCCTTATGTTGACTGATGATACCAAGCTTATTATTACTAAAGAAGTCATTGATCTTGCAAAATTCCATCATGCAATTTCCAAAATTATTTCTAACATCCATGCCATATTTTCGAACTACAGATCTTTCATCTTTGTTTCTTTTTATTTATTGTGCCATAGTTATTTCTGTATATTTTTGTTTGTTTTCCACCGAACTGTGAGCTCCTTTACAGTAGGTAGAGTTAAACCACAGGATCTTAAAGAGCATCTGGTACACAGCAGACCTTGGTTGAGATCGATGGAATCAATAAGATCTTTTTACTGTAATTTATACTAGGTCATTTCTAGTGTGTGTTTTATCTTCCCAACTAGATTTGAACTCCATAAGAGCAGAAATCATGTTTTATATTTGTTTTGTTTTACTAATTTTATTTGTGAATAAGGAGTCAGGTGTGGTGCTGTAGGTTAATACCCTGGACTGCAAAGTCAGTTTGAACTGCAAGGTCAGCTCCTCAGAAACACTATACAGGGTCATTATGAGTTGGAAAAGACTCAACAGTACTTAACAACAACAATCTATGAATCAGAATTGACTTGACAGAAATGGATTTTTTGTTGCTATTTTTGATTTAGTACTAGATTTCATATGCTGAAGAAAAGTTCAATGATATTTGTTAATCATCTACTTTATTCATTAACCACTACAATATTTGGTCAAAATGGCATGAAGATGAAGCATGAAATTTGATAATAGCTGGTAAAATCTATAGTTAGGTTTAGATGTGCTTCTTGCGTGTGATTTCAACAGTTACCGGTAGCAGAGCATGTGGTAAAGGTCTCTATTTCTTAAAAGGATACAACAATCAAGAGATTAAATGTAATAAATTTTATAGTAAGTTTTAAAGAAATTAAATATATTCTAGGTTTCTTTTTTTTTCTGTTAACTTTTTATAGAAAACACTCTTCTCCAAATCATGAGACTCCTAATCCTGGACTACATTTGTGCCTTGTATATTTCTCACAATCATTAAATAATCAAATAGTTTGTTGTTGTTGTTAAGTGCCATCGAGTTGGTTATGACTCATAGTCATCCCATATAAGGTTTCTGAGGTATTAAATCTTCATGGGACTAGAAAGTCTTACCTTTCTCCAGCAAAGCAGCTGGCGGGCCTAAACTTCAGATCTTATAGTTCTCAGTTCAGTCTTATTGTATGGATCCACTGCGTTCACAATCATCTAGTAGATAATTTAAATTTAGGAACAGTAAATGTCAACTTAATCACTAGCTTCTTAAATAAGGAAATCCATGTTCAACAACTTATTTATATTCAGGTCCAAGAAGAAGAAAAATCGTTTTTTGTTTTTTTTCATTCTTTTTTAAGAGGAGTGATATTTAATTAACTATTGATTTCTTCTCAATTATTCAAGGAAAGCAATTATCGATATTGATGGAACAGATATTTTCCTACCTCTAGTGCCCAAACGAAAGGAAATATCCCATTCAGCAATCTGCTGCCTGGAACAAGAATTGCTGAGAATCTTTAACTTTAAATGGAAGCAGTTATTTGGATCTGTTTATCCCATGTTGCCCCAATTAAGCAGATATTTCCTGAAGTGTAAGCAAAACAAAATCCTCAAAACCTACATATGCTTTCCAAATTAACAACAACAAAAAAGAGGGGGCTTTTATCACTTCTGACCATGAGACTCACTGCTCTACACTTGTAAACTTTCTCTCACAACTGCAAATCTTGGCACTTTTAACGATGACACATAAAATACTATCATTTGGGTCTAATGTTTGAGATTTCTAAACCACCCAGTGAAAGGTAGCTTATATAGTCTCTAGAACCCCTTGCATATCAATTACTTTGAGTCTAAAACGATTTAATGTGCTTTCATATTCACATCTGACATTTATAGATAGTAAGTTGAGTCCTGCTGTGGTGCTGTAAGGATAAGCATTGGACTGCTAATGGAAAGGTAGGCAATTCAAAACCCACTAAGTGCTCCTTGGGAGTCCTATATAGGGCTCACTATGAGTCAGAAATGACTTGATGGCACATAATAACAAGGTTAGCTACATTTGAAAATTATACCAGTGTGTCAACTGTGCTAGAGATCATCAAGGAATTGCTGAGGAAAGTGGTAAACAGGCCCTGTGTAGGGTATTTTGTTATTTACTTAGTGGATCTCTACTACCACCATCTTTTCTCAGCTTATATGCACTCAGAACATTAGCATGCTTGTGTATAAGAAACTTCGTTGGAAGGTGATGTGACCTGTGAATATGATTAATGGATAAGGCAAGATTCTCTATTCAATTACTGCTTGGAAGGCGGGAGCTACCTTTAAAAATACTTTGTACTTAATAGTAACGTATGTGTGAGAGAGAGTGCGTTTGTGTATGTTTAATTCACATGAGAATTTGACCCCTAGGGGAATTTGGCCATGCCATTTCTTAAACATGAAAACTGCTGTACTTTATACAAAGCTACTATTTCTGCTCTGCCCCCAATCTCCTTCTAGAGTGATTCTATATGTTAAACGCTTAAGCAGCATATGTTGCTGGGAAATGTTCTTGGCTCTTTTACTCTTTGCTGTTGTTTTAATTTCCCTGGGTTCTATTTAACATTCTGCTAAATCAGTGAAACCTTGATTATCCAGAAGAATAGGAGACATGGAATTAATGAGTATAACCAGAATTTTTTAAAAGATAAAGAACTATTAAAGGGGGAAAGTTGCATGACAAGAACCATGAATGAATTTTCGTTTGTGAAACTGCTTTTCTTGATTCAGTCAGTGTTTTGTTTTTAAATTAATTGGTGGAGTCAATGAATTTTGGTAGAGTTTCACCAGTTGTATTTGCTTCTAAGTCCCAGAAACCAAGTCAATTTACAAAATGATAAAAATCCTAATATAGAGTGCTCTAATGTGACTGCTCTTCCTCACACTCCTCCTGCCTGGCTGCTGCCTGCATAGAGCATGCTGCCTTCATCCTGTCCCGCCCCCTTCATCTCTGCGTTCCCCTGCTGTCTCCAGCCCTCCTGCATGCCATGACTGGGATCCAGCCCAGGGAGAATGGCCCACCCTTTAAAGGTTCCCCCTCATTTTAACAACATTGCTTGGCATTTTAATCACCATTCATTTGGCTTCAATGCTTTGCATTCTTGTATCAGGCACTTGCCCTTTAAAAAACCAGGAGACCACTGTAGGTCCGAGTCCCATGAAGAGAAAGTTAGTACCATACCAGGAATATCACATTTCCTTGTGTTCCATGGCCTGAGATGGACAATGATAGCATCCAAGATTGCAGGGGGGGAAATCTATATAAAAGGGGCTAATACGATAAAAACAAAGGCAGCAACTACATTTGTTTGGAGATTGGGAGTCACATGCTGAGTTTGTTGGAGGGAAGGGAGACTCCAGATCGATAGAGATTTTTTTTTTAAGGTGAAAACATGATGTACCAGATGAACTTAAATTGATTCTGCTTCTCTCCCCGTATCCCACCCTCACCCTCCCCTCGTTTTGCAGCGAATGTCTGCGACAACGAGCTCTTGCACTGCCAGAACGGAGGGACGTGCCACAACAACGTGCGCTGCCAGTGCCCCGAGGCCTACACAGGCATCCTCTGCGAGAAGCTGCGCTGCGAGGAGGCAGGAAGCTGTGGCATCGACTCAGGCCAGGGTGCGCCCCGGCAGGGCTGCCCGGCGCTGCTGCTGCTGCTACTGCTGGCCGCTCTGCTGGGGACAGCCAGCTTCCTGGCCATCTAGGCATCTCATCCCGCCAGCGGACGGGCCTGTGCTGTGGGGAGAAGCAAACACAACCCAAGCTTTTGCTACTAACATAGGAAATACACACCCACACGACCCCCCCTCCCCCACTCCAACACAGTGTACAAACTACGAAGGCCTGACTGAACTAAGCCATATCTATCAACCGTGGACAGCACATCCGAGTCAAGACTGTTAATTTCTGACTCCAGAGGAGTTGGCAGCTGTTGATATTATCACTACAAATCATATTGCCAGCTGCAGAGCTTATTGTGGATTGGAAAGGCTGTGACAGCCCCCACCCCAAACACGAATGACAAAAACAAACAAATCAACCAATCAACAAACATTGGCTACTCTAATGTGGTGCGCCCGCAGTACCACTCTACCCAGTGTGTGGACCAACGAAACAGAAGCATTCTTTGCTGTCAGTGCATTGTGGGTATAAGGAAATCTGTTACGAGCTGCCATATTGGCCTGCTTCAGTCCCTGAATCCCTTCCAACCTGTGCTTTAGTGAACGTTGCTCTGTAACCCTTGTTGGTTCAAAGAGTTCTTTGTCTGATGTTAGTGATGCACATGTGTAACAGCCCCCTCCAAAAAGCTCAAGCCAGTCATACCCCTGTATATCTTAGCAGCACTGAGACACCCCAGTGCAAGCACACACCCACTGTACAAGAGTGGCTCTAGAAAAAACAAATGAAAGTGTATCTATCCTTTTGTATTCAAATGAAGTTATTTTTCTTGAAATACTGTAATATGTAGATTTTTTGTATTATTGCCAATTTGTGTTACCAGACAATCTGTTAATGTATCTAATTCCAATCAGCAAAGACTGACATTTTATTTTGTCTTCTTCCATTCTGTTTTCGTTTCATTGTGCAGAGATTTCTCTGTATGGGCAACGTGCTGGCATCAAAGAATATCAGTTTACATATATAACAAGTGTAATAAGATTCCACCAAAGGACATTCTAAATGTTTTCTTGTTGCTTTAACACTGGAAGATTTAAAGAATAAAAATTCCCGCATTAATGATTTCAGGAATTTGTATTGCAATTTCTTAAGATGAAAGGAGCAGCCGCCAAGCAGTTTTACACTCACTTTACTGATTTCTGTGTGGACTGAATACATTCAGCTGATGAATTTAGTACCCAGGAAGATGGATTGATGTTCACTAGCTTGGACAACTTCTGCAAAATATGAGACTATTTCCACTTGGGAAAAATTATAACAGCAAAAAAAAAAAAAAAAAAAAAAAATCTAAGTGATTGCCAAGATTATGCCAAAGCCTGTTGGTAGAGTACTAAGAGACTTTTATTTTCTAAGTCATGCTATTTTCACAGATTGATGGTGATCATGTGACTCTAGAGATGCTGATCTATGTATCTTTCCAATACAGTGTTTACATTGAGTATCATAAGAGGCAACCTGGGGAACCAGGGAAGTAGCAGGGAAATTGAGTGATAAGCAATTTGAATTTGAATATATTCAGACTCAGTATTTAGAGGAAATATCAAAATATACAGCAGCAAGTAGGCATAACTGCTGTTCCTGAGAATAAAGTTTGTTTTAATGACTGCCCAAGGTGTAATAAATTCTTGTTTCTGCCTTTTATTAGGCCAATTACTATGTTAAGACAGAAAAGGGAGACGGGTTGGGGGAACCATTACAACTTTTAAAGCGGCTAAACCAGTCCATAGCAACCCTGCATAGGGTTTCTGAGGCTGTAAATCTTTACAGGAGCAGAAAGCCTCATCTTTCTCCCACAGAATGGATGGTAGTTTAGAACTTCTGATCTTGAGGTTAGCAGCCCAACTCATAACCACTATGCTACCAGAGCTCCTTATGTATTGGTTTAGCTGCTAATGCATATGCATATTACATCCCCAGCACCCTGCTGTCCTACAGGTTACAAATGTGTTAGCAGCAGCATCTCCTGGAATTAAAAAACAAAAACAACCAATTATTAAACTAAAAGTCTAAAGAACAATGAAGGCCTACATGACTTGATAGAGCAATAATCTCTGATAGTGTGAGGTCAAAACTTACTTCCAGCCTGAATTCTTCACCTAGCTGCCAATCCTTGCTGAAATG